CAGTGGCCCCACCTTTTGTGTCATACCTTAACCTCTGTAGGAGCGTTTCTTTCTTTCTTTCTTTCTTTCTTTCTTTCTTTCTTTCTTTCTTTCTTTCTTTTTCTTTTTCTTTTTTTGGTCAGGACCACTGGCTCCCAAATAATCACACAGAGACTCATTACTCATAAATGCTTGGCCGATAGCGTAGGCTTGTTATTAACTAGCTCTTACATCTTAAATTAACACATTATTTCTCATCTGTCACATGGAGGTGCCTTTTCCTCAGTATGGCATATTCATCTTGCTTCTCTCCATGTCTCCTCCTGTCCACAAGTCCCACCCAACCACTTCCTGCCTAGCTATTGGCCATTAGCTCTTTATTAAACCAATGAGAGCAACACATCTTCACAGTGTACACAGCATATAAAAAGACTATTCCATAACGTTTCCCCCTTTTGTCTAATTAAAAAGGAAGGTTTAAACTTTAACATAGCAAAACTATACACAGAAAAAAAGTTATCAAGTAAGAATTACAGTTACAATTAGCCAGTTCATTTTGTATTTGGCAAATTTAGAGAAAATACTTCATTATCTATCTTATCATTGTGAGTCTAAAGTTTTATACCTAACTTACTTTTTATTATAACTAAGGAAAAGTATAAGTTTAACTATTTAGTCTTTAACTCCATCAAAGACCCCAGAAAGATGTAATATTACATAACGGTAGGGATATTCCTATATGTTTTCCATCTTTATGTGGCTTTTTCCCTTTTTATTACTTTTCTCCTTTTTAAAAGAGCTTATTTTATTATTTTTAAACTCTCTTTTTCTATATCTGTCTATATCTTTTCTCCTTTCCTACTCAAGCCTACATACATTTTTAAAGGCCACAACTTGTTCAGAGGTTTTAATCAAACTGGATCTGTCTTTATTGAGCATCTGTAGTGTTCTCTGATAACATGAGACAAAGCTTAAACTTGTATGTCAGCTTCCAGTGTGGCTCACCTTAGTGCATGGTGTCAACACATGGTGGCTGATGGCTGGACCCATCCTGCAGTCAGCAGGTAGGAAATGCATCTCTGGACGATGACTGACATGAGACTCTGAGACCAGGAAGCTGTGTTAGGCTGTTTTTATGTGTCAGGAAGCTTTTGTTAAACTCTTTTATGTGGCTATGCATGGCCAGACATTGGGCACCATTTGTAGACAGGGATTTTTGTCGGAACTGTTGGCTCTCAAATAATCACACAGAAACTTACTGTAAATGCTTATCTGATAGCTTAGGCTTGTTATTAATTAGCTCTTACATCTTAAATCAACCCATAATTCTTATCTACACTTTACCACATGGTGGTAACTTTGTCAGTACAGCGTGTTCATCTTGTTTCACTCTGCATCTCCTTGTGACTCCACCCTTCTCCATCCAAAAGTCCTGTCTAAGTTCTTTCTGCCTAACTATTGGCCATTAGCTCTTTATTAAACCATTGAGAGCAACATATCTTCAGTGTACAAAAGACTATTCTATAACAAACCTCTCCATATCAACTACTGAATAACTCTTTGCCTGACCTCTGGAGAATGCTGGTTGTGCGTTCTTCCTGGATCAGACTCATTTGTGGCCTCCCTCACTGCCTTTTTTTGAGACAGGGTTTCTCTGAGTAACAGCTTTGGCTATCCTGGAACTTTCTTTGTAGACCAGGCTGTCCTGGAACTCACCGGCATTCACCGGCCTCTGTCTCCCAAGTTCTAAGATTAAAAGTGTGCACCACCACTACCCAGCTTCCCATTGTCTTATTAGACTCTCACCTTGCTTCTTGTTAATTGCTCTGAGTCAAATATCACTACCACACCTTATCTCTCCCATCTCTCTCTGGTATCACAGACTGCTTGAACTCCCCAGGAACACTCATTGTGGACACACTGGATCCTGTAGACTTCAATAATACCTTGACCCTTAGTACTACCACGCAGCCTCTAGGACCAAACATTCACAATGTCTTGGTTTCCTGCAGCACTCAAGTTTACTGCTGCCTGTCTACTGGTCTGACATTTGTGCCCTTATGTTCTTTTTCCAAAACTAACAGTGGTACCCAGTGAAGCACCCTTGCCACTCATCACAGGGTTTATAGAGTCATGCACGACAGAGGCATGGCTCACGTTATACACTCTCCAACAATCCTGAGGATGAGCACTGGTGTTGACACTGGATCAACAGGGCTATTTACTTTGGGTTTTCCCAAGGGAAGCTCAGGCCATTCTTACCCTCCTGGGCCAAATAGACTCACTGGCTACTGTAGAGCTACAAAACCAGTGAGGATTAGATTTGCTAACAGCAGAGAGAGGTAATCTTTGTGTCTTTCTCAGGAAGGAATGTTGCTTCTATGTCAACCAGTCAGGTATAGTAAAAGACAAGATCTGACAACTGCAGATGAAAAATCAAAAACGTAAGAAACAGCTTGATGCCTCTGGCCAGTGGCTCAATGACAGTTCATATGGAACTGGATACTTCCCTTCTTAAACCCTTTCTCCTGCTTTTCTTAATCCTACTAGTCTTACCCTGCCTTATAAACTTCTTGCCTAGATTTCTTCAACAACAGATTTAAAAAATTCCTAACCAGACTTTGAATCAGTTGCTTTACAGGATTACTGGCCCCTAGCTACAGAGCCAGAGGCCAGACACTCCTGATTATACCCTGACAGTGAGGACCAAGACTGCCCAAAGAACTTCTGTGCCCCAATTCAACAGCAAGTAGTCTAAAGATAACATCACTCCTCCTTTAACCTGATCATTTATCAATAACAAATGAAAAGAGGGGAATGTAAGCCCCTTCCCTGAGAATTTCCAAGTGCCAGGTTTTGCCACAGAATCTGTCCTAATGGCTAGATCCTGACCTGGCCTACAGAGTAAAAAGCCCAAGCTGTGGATTTGAAACCCCACCAATCCCAGTCCTGGAAATGTTCGACCTGAAAAGTTCTACCCTCCACCCCCACCCCCCCAGCCAGGAAACTCTACATAAACCCTGCCTCCTGCTCAGCTCCTCAACAGAGCAGAGGCAGCCACCCTCCTGGCTTTTTCCCTCCTAATAAATCTCGTGTGAGGTTTGTTGTGTGATGTGACTTTGAGGTATTTCTTGATTCCCGACTGCCAGGATATCTTTCCATTAGAGTTGTAATACTTATACTGACACCAACTGTCTTTTATATGAACTCAAAGGACAGTTCAAGGATTGAGGATTAAAAGTTTCACTTCCCTGATCATGTCTCTGTTGCTTCTTAGCTTTGTTCAAACTACTCACTATACTCAGCTATACTAGTAGCAGGCAATTTCCCCAAGGTTTTGGCCCTTTCTAGATGCTCTTAGTCATCTTTTAAGACTTCAGCAACTTGTAACAACAGTCTTTCCTCAAAGGTAGTAAGGGTTAGCAGCAGGTAAGTAAACATTGGGCTTCTCACATCCATTCTGTGCCTCCCGTCTTGGTTCCTCCAGCAGTGGAGCAGACTGACTAGCTATTACTTCAGAAGCTTGTGAAACACAGACATAAAACCAGCCCCCAGTGAGTACTACAATAATCCAAAATGTCATCTAAACTTACGTAAACCTCTGTATGCCCGGTGCACTCAGCACAATACGGGCTCACTGAAAAGACAAACGGGATACACTCTCTGCTCAGGGGACCCCGAGGATAGATGAATAATACCTCATGATAGAACCATACCTAATAGAGATTACTAAATCAGAAACCATTTTCTGAGTGACCAGCACATATAAAACTGAAATAAATATTGAATGTGGACTTGGAAAGGACAATGTCAACTTCCAGCAATTGGTATTGGTCTGTGCTTGAAGAGACTTGTCTGTTGCAAGTGTTGGTCATCATGTGCCTTTTCCATAAGTTTATGAAGGGACTGGGCAATCAGCACTCTAAACAGAATTTCAACTAAATTCAGAAAAAAATATGCAATATATTAGCCCTAGGAATTAGAAAAACTAAACAGCCTATCTACCTAGCGTGTAATATGACACTTCTACAATGTTTGTCATATCTATAAAGTTTATTTTAAAAAATGTTAAAAACTAACCATACAGGATTCTTCAATATACTTAAAAAAGTTTGTTCCCCATGTCAAAAGAAAACACATTTGCAACATCTTGCAGATACCATCTTTATAAAAGTGGAACTTGTAGATGCTGGACTGCACTACAGTAGAATCTATAGTTCACATTCTCCCTGCTCCCCCTACACCTAATGCTGCAGACTGTTCAGGATGACAATGGGTCACATGCTGCCACCACAGGTCTGTAACACATGCTGCACTTAGCGACAGACCGAGTTTCCTCTTTTGCTGCCGCACATTTATTTCAGAGTGTTTGAGTAGAAACACATCCCAGGACTGTAAACATTCGTCAAGAGCTTCCATGGTACAAGGAGTAACAGTGGTAGCTGGGGAATCACTTGTGGGCACACTGCTAAGATCATGAAAGATGTTTTGCAAGATCACCCTAAGCCTCCTTACTTATACATCTGTAAGAAGGTAGCTCGGGGTAGACATTTTTAGTTGAAACACCTGAATGTCATTCTAAAGACTACAACCAGCACCATTTTTTCTTTCCTGGAATATATTGAGTTAAATTCAGCAGGATATATGATTATTAATAACAAATTAAAAATAGTGGGTCTCTGCCAGGCAGTGGTGGCACGTGCCTTTAATCCGAGCACTCGGGAGGCAGAGGCAGGCGGATCTCTGTGAGTTTGAGACCAGCCTGGTCTACAAAAGCTAGTTACAGGACAGGCTCCAAAGCCACAAAGAAACCCTGTCTCGAAAAGCCAAAACAACAAAAACAAAAACCAAACAGTGGGTCCCAAGTCCGCCTTTGAATACACATGGAGTACTGCATTCCAGCTGATGCTAACCGGAGCCACACATGAATCTGTAGAACAGTAACTCCCCCGGGGCCACATGCAACCCATAAGTCTATCACATCTGTCCATGGAGGCAATACAAGCAGACTTAAGGCTGTATTCGGCTATGAAGGGTTCCATCTCCTCTTTAATAATCTACGTACATCACACACATAATTCAAAATTCTAGGATGGAGGTGAAAAGTCCCCACATACTTTAAAATACTATTCTCCATACAATTCATTGCCAGCATATCTACATGTATAGGAATGGGGGCAAAGATACTTATAACCACTTTAAAAACACAAACCTGAACTTCTAAACTCTGTCCCAGTGTCCCTAAGAGTACAAGCTTTCAGACAATTGGACAATTTCATATCTGTCAGACTGTTCGTTGCAGTTCTTGGGCAAATTTCATGTTGTTCCCAAGAAGAATAAACATGTTTAAAATTCATTGCCATCCACTTTGGGATAGACCTGGTTGCAAAGAGAATGGTGTTCCGGGTGTGGACGGATAGCTAGGGAACCCGTCTGGCTGGGCTGGGTAGTTCTCCAAAGCTGACGCCGGATGGACCTGCAGGAAGAGACGCACAGTTATTGCGCAGGCTCCAACCCACACACAACCAGACAGCACGTCGTGAGAAAACAACACTGTTTTCAAAACTGTCAGGAGGTGGGTTTTTATGCCGTTGTTTTGTAGAGATAAGTTGCCTTGTTCATTATACTTTAAGACAAATTAAATTATAATTGGTTTGACTTTAGCTTTCATTTTAAATCTCCAAATTGGGATTTAAAAAATTATATAAATGGGAAAAAACAAAACCAAACAGTTCATGCATTTGAATCCTAGCGTCTTTGTTACTTCTGAAAAGAGGTAAACAGAGCTTGTGAGTTTGGGGAGAGATAATCGATAATCAAACCAAACTCCTGTCCACACTGGGCTGTCCAGACGGTTCACCCTTACCGTCTCACTCCAGACAATGCTCACCTGCTGTAACAAAGCCGACTGCGCCGCCGCGCTGTGCTGTAACCCTTGCAGGGACGGCTGTGAAGGAGTCTGGGAAAACCCAGGGATACCTGGGAGGGACAGAAGGCCTGGAAAAACAGAGCTACCCGCAGCTTGGAGTCCAGATGACAAACTGAAAACAATCAAGAGAAAAACAGGTCAAACTGCAGACAGGGCAGAAGGAAAAGCTGCTTCCATATTGGGCAAAGGGTAGCTTAAAGATGGTTAAGAGCAGACCCGTCAGCTCACTCCTCCATGGGGCAGAATTGCGGAAGTGAGCCACTCATTGCAGTAAAACTTACTCAGAGCGGATAACGCTTCCAGCAACCCACGCAATCACTCTACAGAAGATGGCCAAGGAGTCATGGAATATTCCGGGCACTGGCCTTCTATCCTCCCATTCCTCTGGCCTAGCACGTGTGTAAACGTCAATACAAAGCAAGACGGCCACGGAAACTTGGTGAGAAGTGCCTTGAATGTCTGCAGCCCGGTCACATACCCTGCTTGTGCCACCAGGGCGGAGTTGAAGTTGGAGCTGAAGGCCGAGGCGAACCCGGGGAGGACAGGAGCAGGCGACGGGGCGGAGGCAGCCACCGGCAGCGGGGTGACGGCTACTGTGGAGGGCGCCTGCAGCCCAGGGAAGGAGGGCAGAGCGGGGGCGCCACTCGGGGCACTGGAGACAGGGAAGCTGGGGTAGGAAGGGTTGGAGGCAGGCAGAGGGCCCTGGGTGACTGCGAAGAGCGAGGGGACGGCAGTGGACAGGTTGAGTGGGAAGGCGGCGGGCGACGCATTGGAAGCGGGCAGCACGGGGCGCACGGGCGCGGAGCTGGGGTGTGCGGTTGCGGATGTGGTGGCCGCTGGCCCCGAGAGGGACACAGCAGGGTTGAGGGAGGGACTGCCCGGGAGAGGGAAACTGTTGGTCAGCGACGTGAAAGGGGGAAGGGCAGTGAACACAGGAGCAATGGGCGTGGAGGACGCGTGTGGCGGGAGGGACATGGAGCCAGCCAGGGGAGTGCTCAGGCTGGAAAGGCCGGACAGGGCGGGGTTGAGGCAAGTGGACACGCTGAGGGGCACTGAGCTTGTGGGGTACCCACGGCCCAGAGCACCCGACAGGCCCAAGGCGCCGCGAGCAGGGGTGCCGGCGTGAGCCGGGCCTTTGAAGGCCGAGGGAGGGGGGCTGGCGGGCTCGCTTTTGATCATAACGGGCACGGCTGCGGCGGCAGCGGAGGACGAAATGCCACCCACGTGGGGACCATGCAGGAGCGAGCCCGAGGAGCCGCAGCTGACGGGCACTGCCGCGGAGGACGGGGTAGCCAACGGGGACTGCGCCGGGGCCGCGGAGGTGGCGCTGGCCACAGGGGACTGCAGGCCCGGGAACAAGGTCACCCCCGGGGTCGAAGACCTCTGGGAGGCAGCGACAGCAGCAGGGGCATAGCACTTGTTGGTGCCTGAGGCAGGGGGATCCGAGTTTTGATTGGGAAGAGAGGATAACGACGGCAGCCCGCTTGTGACCGCAGACGACAAGGCAGAGGAACTGATTAAGTGCGTGTCGTTAGACGTGAGGAAGCCTTTTAAGGCGGACAGGAGGGGGCTGTTTACACCATGCGGCCCCGCAGCACTAGCGATTACAGAAGGAGCTGGGGTGGTGACGCTGTGCGAAGCCGGCGGCGGGAAGGGCAGGGGCAGCCCCGTAAAGACGGACGACAGGGAAGCCGTGCTGGGGTTGCCGGCTGCCCCGGCGGCGGAGCTGGCCGAGGAGTGGCTGGTGAACGGGGCACAGGCGGGAGCAAACGTCTCACCGGCAGCCAGGGTGACCCTCGCCGTGGAGCCGGCCTGAGGGGATGGGGTGGGGGCGGCAGAGGGACCTGGCAGTGGCACTAGGCCAGAAAAAATGGAAGGGACAGGAGCAGGCGTGGTGCTGTGGGCGGAAGTGGCAGGTGTCACCGGCACCGAGGGAGTCCGGATCACAGTCGGGTTCGGTGTGGAAGGCTGAGGCGTTGGGAACACCGAAAGGGCGGCGTTGGGAGCACTCATTCCGGCCCCAGTGGCAGCTGCTGACACGGATGGATGGTTTGCTGCTTTGATTGGGGACACGGCAGGGACAGGAGTCGCAGCAGGAGTCGCAGGATTAGAACCGTGAGGGGAGAAGAGTTGGCCTGCTGGGGTGGAAAACGCTGTGGAGAGAAGAGGCAGGGTTCATGCTGGAATGTCCACTTTAAAAGAAACATAACCATTTGTTACTGGTGCCATATTTCACACATACCAAAGAAAACCAATGGCAGGCATCAAGTGGCCCTTTACATGTCTAGACTGCTGGTGTCATTATCCCACCTTCACTTTGGGGCATCTGTGGCCAGGACGACAGCCACGCCCTGCTTGTGCCTGCCCGCCATCCAGGAAACTTGGCTACTTTTCTAGAAGCTCTAGAGAAGGTGCTGAGGCACCGGCAGCACCCTGCACCCCTCGCTTGCTGACAGCCCCTCCCTTAGAGGTCTGAACACACCTGCAGCCGCCTAGCTCAGGACACTGACCAATCTACTCCAGCTCCTAAGGCTAAGTCTGTCCTGGGGACTCATTTAAGTGTAACGCTATGTTTAATTCCCCCTCTACTTCAGGCCTCGGTGTTTTAGTAAGTTTGTGTCAGGGATCCACACAGGATCACCTTAGAGGACAACTCACAAACCACCTAAGAACTTGCTCTCAATATTATTTTGCGTTTGCTACACTGGCTTTACTCTGATAAACCCTATGGATAATCAATGAAAGGATTTGGGTTCCTCCTCCCAGGACGAATTCAATGCTGTGTCCGAGGCAGCATAGACTGCTCCTCCCTCTGCAGCCATAACTACTGAAAGGCGTTTTTGGGAAGTAAGACAGACACTTAAAGATCTGTGTGGAAGGCAGACTTTTGACATGAGGATGCTCACACAGTCAGTGAGTTCCTGGTGGGAGGAGACACTGAAAGGAAACCCCAGGGCTAAGTCACTGCACACAAACTGGAGTGCAAACAGGCTGCACAGCTGGGCGTCACAACCCTTGACATTTTTTTCAGAAAAGAAATGTGATAAGAAAATGAGCAAATAACAGTATAAGAAACGCAAGTTCAGGGCTACACCACATTCCTGTTTTTCACCCTGGTGTAGGAGATTACACTCAAGGCCTTGGTCACGCTAAGCACACATACTACCAGATCCATGTTGTAAGCAGTGACTTAATTTCATGAAAATTAGACTCATTCAGAGTCACCATGAAAACAGGTCTATACTGTACTTCTGCATGTGTTCTGCAAGAACCAGGATCATCAGGAATGAAATATGAGCCTAAGTCTGAGTTTGTAAATAACATATTACAAATACACTGCTCCAAAGTGGCCGGGAACACATGAGAATTCAGTTTTATTCACGGATATGCTGAGGACCACAAACTTATAGCAAAGCTTGAAGAAAAAGCAAGCAGGTCCTCCTGGAGTTTTCAGAGTCATTCCCACTGGAAACTTCTTAACCTACAAAGCAAAGGCCCTGCCACTAGCAGCCCCTGCAGTAAGCTATGGAGCAGACAAAAAGCAAGGCCCCAATTACACAACATTCATTCCTGCCACCTAATGTGGTTCCTGACCGTCACATAGCACGCCACAGCCCATGCGAGGTCACTTATGTCCGCCACTCCATCTGTCCTCACAGTAACCCCGAGACCAACACTCCCATTGTAGACACAGGTAAGCTGAGGCTTGCTGTGGCAGGGCCAGATCACACAGCTAAGCAGCTTGATTATAGACCATGCATAAGGCCATGGGCTCAATCCTCCAGCACAGAAAAAACCACGACAAATAATATCATGGGCATTCCAAGTGATGGGGACCATGGCTTACCACCACAGAGGAAGTCTTTACTACTGTTTAGTATAGTTCCTAAAGGGGGGGGCTTTTTAAAATTATAAAATTAAATGTAAAGGCTTTAAAGTTATTTCCACAAAGTCAAATGCCTTGTTTATAAAGCCACCTTTAGGTGGCTTCATAGTGACGGTAAGAAATGCTGGTGTCTGTCCTTTACACAGGAGGTGCCACACCTTCTGGGCACCTTCCCATCTAGACTCCCTGACCTGGCACAGTCACCAGGGTTAGAGCTGCTTCTCTCCCTGCAAGCTCCTTCTCCTTCCTCCTCCTGCAGAGCAGCCCTTCCTCCTGCACATCCAATGGGAAGTGAAACTAGGTGCTGCCATCAGGTGGCGCCACCACGGCCACCTGTGCTCAGTGTCCTTTGCTGCTCCCGGGCTCCTTATCACTTTCCACATTAGGACTTACTAGACCGATTATCTGTCAGAAAGAGATACCCTCATGTGCGCCGGAAAATCACCTTCCCCACACCAGAATGCTACGTGAATGCGGATGTGCCTGCCACGTGACCTTTAGATTTCATAAAGTCTTGCAAACAGGACACAGTTTAAATTAATTTAAATCCAGATAATATGTACATTTCTTGAACATAAAAATCTGTCATATCAAGTCACTCTTAGCAGGTACACGTTACTGTACACCCAGGAGCCGCTCTCTCCTGAGACATTCCACAGATGCTAAACTCAAGTTCCCAGTGAGAAACGGCCAACAATCATGGCAGGCAGCAGTTATCTCTGGGTCCCTGGGTACTTACTTTGACTCTGTGAAGGTTTTGACTGGCTGGAAAGGTCTTCATTGTCTATGGAAAATAAATGATGTCAAGCTTTAGTCAGACTATTCCCCATCATAATCACAGGTAGATATCAAAGGAGAAAAACCAAGACACGAGTAGACAACACCGAAAGCACTGGAGGAAAAGTAGAGGACACTCATGAAAGAGTCACACGGGTGTGAATAAATCAGGTCGTTACAATACAGACACATTTCTGGACAAATACGTGAGCACCGAGTGACTTCAAACAGCCCACAACAGCAGCCTTTACCTGTCCCCACTGGGTTTGGAGTGTACGGAGGTGGCGGAGGGACACCTGGAGCTATCGCATTGGCTAACGGTACCAGACCTGCATTGTTATAAGCACCTAAAATAAAAGAGAGAGAATTAGTGTCCCTGGCTGCGAGTTCAAATCTGTGTGACGACAGGTATGCGCTTTATTTTAAACTGTGGTGTCATAGAGACGCGTCTCACATGGAGAGTTTAAGTGAAGACTGAGCAGGGGAAGGCAAACCTTGCTGCAAGCCCATCCCAGACAGCTTCGAAGAAAAGGCATTTAAGGCCATTTACCAAAGTGAAAACCTCTAATAATAAAGCGATTAAACAATCTGCAATTAAACAATCAGGAAAGCACTCTAAAAGTAAACTACACCTTCAGTAGCATGGCAGATGAGGATACAGCAGCTGGTCATCAGCAAAATAAACTCTCAGAATTGAAGTGCTGTAGATTTCCCAAGCACATAAACCAGCCCATCCCTTCAATTTAATCAGGAGCAGAGAGAAGCGAAGCCCAGAGAATGCTTACTTGGTGCAATAGTCGCATGTGGCCGGCACGGAGGTATCGGGTAGGGGACAGGCTTGTGTGGGTTGTACGTTGAGGGAGGCTGGAAAGGGAACAGTGGTTAAGACATCACAAGCTGACCTAGCACCTGGTCCTAAGAGGCTGAAGATGCCCCAGTGAGCAAAGCCTCCAACTAAGTAAAGCCCTCCCTTTGATAAAGGTGGGTCTTACTTTATTCTGAAGGTACAGCTTGCCAAACATGGTCAATCATCCCCAATTATCTCCAATAAAGGTCAGACCTGTCTCTGAACAGCAGGCACCTTTCTAGTTCTGCCTAGGCTAATCCCAGAAACTCCTATCTTCACCGGGAAAACACATGCAATCTTCAGGGTTGGTCTCTCTGACACATAATGAGCTCAAGGGCAATGTCCTCTGACACATAATGAGCTCAAGGGCAATGTCCTCTGACACATAATGAGCTCAAGGGCAATGTCCTCTTAAGTCATTACAATCTTAGAACCGCGGGATCACTGGCAGCTGGCAACCTGGCAGTCACTGCACAATCAATTAGGGATTCGGTGTTTTCGAGCACTTTAAGTTGATGGCACTGACAGAACCTCAGATATCCAAAGCTACACTAAAAGCTGTACTTCACCCACAGCGGTAAACCAGGGGGAAGGTGCTGTGGGACAATCCTTGCACACTGTTGAAGTATGTATGGTTGTAACTGTATATAGAAGCCGGTTGGGGGATAGCTAGGCAGGATATGTGAGGCAGAGGGAATTCAGGGAAGGAGAAGGGCAGAGTCAGAGGGGTCATGAAGGGTGCAGAGAGAAGCAGGATGAACACCCAGTGTTGAACAAGGGTACCACCACATGGCAACTGGCTAGATAAGCAACATGGGTGAATTTAAGTCCTAAGAGTTAGTCTGTAGCAAGCCTAAGCTATCAGCTGAGCATTTATAATTAATACTAGGTCTCCATGTGGGTTATCCAGGAACCGGAAGGCAGGAGGGAAAACCCCACCTACAGGAAGGCACCATTTCCTCCCGGCCATCGCTGATTCTCCTATCATACGAGTGGGCGGAGAAGGCAAGGCCTGTGGGGGCCACCAGCCCTCCACTCCGGAGGTCCCTTCTCCTGTCAGAGTACATTCCCAGTCACTGCAGTCATTCCCTTGAAAGGACAAGCCCAGCTGCTCACTAATATTAGCACTGTCTAAATGCACAGCACACCCCAGCCTTCATCTCAATAGATGAATGTGGTTGGATTAAAATACTTACCCTCCAAAGATCCATGAACACCACTAAGTACTTATACCACCTACCCTAGGCCATTGTCTCTCATCTGGAATTTCTACTACATTTAAACTTCACAATACACAAAAACGACTTTATGCAGAAAGCTCCACATACAGGAATTAACACCGGTTTCCTCTTATTTCAACACATACTGGTTTGCACGGTCCAAGAATTCGTGCTGCTATTCCTTTGCCCTCATTGGTACTTTCTTCACCGTCCTTTTTCAGAGGAGTTCCCTTAAAGAACAATAATAATAAAGGTAGTTGAGTCTTTAGACAACAAACACTGCTTCATTCTGAAGAAAGGGACTTAACTTGCCAGGAACAAGTCATGGATTCTGGACCCAATCCTGCCCCAGCTAGTTGCCCGATCTCCTCTTAACCTTACTGTGCCAGGGAAGCAGAGAGAATGACAGAGGGAAGGATGACATGTACTCTAATACTACACACACACACACACACACACACACACACACACACACACACACACACACACAGACGCACACGCACGCACGCATGCACAGACTTTAATGCCAGTGTCTATGACTCAGAAGCTGAAAAAGAAGCCTGGCAGCTAAGAACCCCTAAGAGACTCTCTGTAGGCACACATCAGAGTAGCCTGTCCCTGCAGGCTGTGCCCTTAGACAGGACTCACTAGGATGGAGGACGGCTTCTAAGATGGCCCCCCTGGTCCTTGCCTCTATCTGAGAATAACTAGGGCTGACTTCTAAAGCCAAGCTCTAGAGAGGCCTTGCGAAGCTGCCCCTGCCTGCCTTTGGATCCATGGGCTATGGAGATTAGTTACCCTGCCATGACGGTGCTGAAGTCCTTGTTGTGAGGGACAGACTCCTGACAACAAGCAACATTAGCTTGCCAGGCACTTAAGTGAGCCTGGAAAGAATATTCCCTGTCTTCCAGCCAAGCATTTGGAAGAAATCTGCATAAGAACTAGAGCTAAGCCACTCCCAGCTTCCTGAATCACCAAAACTACAGTACAAGGAGGCTGTTCACGCCTTTAATTCTAGAGGCTAAGGGCAGTGGGGGGTGGGACCTCTACACTCCCAGGCCAGCCTGGTCCACACAGGGAGTTCCAGGTCAGTCAAGGGTACAGAATGAGACCTGGTCTCAAAAAGCTAAACCCAACAAACAAACAAACAAAACAAAAACTATTGGAAATAATAAATGTTTACTATTTAATTCATGAAGCTCTGGGGTTGTGACACAGTTAATAGAAATGTAACTACTTTTGAAAAGGCCATTTTCCAAGGGCTTTGAGGGCCACCCACTGGTATCCAAACAAGATTCTTACAGGCTTCATCATGAAGTTTCCAAAATGGGTTCTCAGATACACAACTGTCAAAAATGCTGATACTACTTGGAAAAGAAAAAGCAAAATCCCCATTTGTCTGGCGTGTTCTGAATGTAACAGTCAGTTAATGGCATTTATACATGAACTTTCAGCTGTCTATCAATTAAATTGAAGACATGAGACTCCTTCCCTTTGTAGAAGCATCATAAGATGGCATGTTCTTGTATGTAGCACATACACGCACAGATCTGTGCTTAGGTCACACTTAGTCATGGGAAATTTCCTGTATGTAAAAGCATGCTTACGGGGAAAATCCCATTGATACGGCTGGGTTTTCCTTTGGGATAGGGGTTTCCTGGGATGGTTCCACATGAAGATATCATGGCATGAGGGGCTTTGCAGCCTGCTTTGAAAGCCTGTAATGCAAAAAAAAAAAGTGATTAACAAAAATCAGACTCATCACATCATGTATTCCAGATAACAGGAAGCCTAGCTAAAGCCACGGATTAAGGAGGAGAATGGCATTCACATACTGACCTATCAATCACCGTGGAGCTACAGGAATGGTGTGTCCAAAGAAGTGAGCTATTACTGTGGAATCATTACCATGGTTATATTACCAAACCACCATCACCAGTGCTATAAGCAACAGGTTCAAGAAATGTCTATTATGTAGCAGCAGGGTGTGGGGTGCACACCTTTAATGCCAGTACCCAAGACATAGAGGCAGGCAGATCTGTGAGTTTGAGGCTAGCCTGGTCTACATAGTGAGTCCTTGCTCCATTTCTTTAGTTAACTATCGAGAAAAAAATGTTCAAAACTACACAAGCCTGGCTCGGTGAAAGAAACTGCTGGGAAAATGTTCACAGTGCAGCTGAAAAGCACACACCCAAATAATGGGTGGTTCAGCAAAAAGCACCCGCTGCTGTTGCAGAGGCCCTACCTGGTGGTCCCGGCATCTCCCAACGTTACTGCTGCACCAGGTGATCTGGCACTTTCTCAGGCATTCACACGCACATGCACGCCCACACAAAAGTAAAAATAAAACCAACTTTTTCATTTTCACACCAATTCCAGTTCCCCTCCCTCACCTTCCCTGCCCCTCCCCCCCATGGCAGAGTCCGCACTGCAGGGTGAACCACCAATGAGTTTGCACTCCTGTGTGACCTCTGCCCCTAACAGCCTTTTCTGCAAGGCCCTACTTGTGCTCCCTCTCGGGCAAGAACGTCTACGTCTGAGCTTGTCCCCAGCACGGCCGCAGTGAGGTGGTGTGTCACAGGTGTGTCGCTGCTCACCCGCAGCACCGCGTCTGTGTGCAGCTGTGAGGCTCACCTGCTCCAGGACCCTTTTGCACCGTTTCTTCTCCGACATGTTGATCCTGAATAAATCTTCAATGGGGCGAGAGTTCTGTGCGTCCACAATGTTTCTGTCAGGGAAACATGACTTAGCTTCTGCCTGGGCACACACACACAAACACCAGACAGGTCTTTATGGCATGCTATATGCTTATGACTTATCGGCACATGCTGGACTGCAGAATCATTGCCTATGAATTCGCAACTTGCCCATCCTTAAACCTTGCCTCGGGGTCCCTTTTCTTTCTTCAGTCTCACGCTCACATATGGTTCTCAAACATCAAGCGTGGAGCATCGCACAGCCTGACATGACTCTTATCACTTTTGTAATCGCAGGCTCTGAGGTTACAGGTACCCTGTTCAATAAGCATCTTATGTTTTTACCAGATTGCTTTTTGAATTATTCAGGATGGGAAGGGGTCAAAGCAAACGCTGAAACACAGGGGTGTGAAACAGCCTTTGGATTGCAAGCCAAGTCTACATATGTAGGAGGTACAGAGTGTTGACTATGTAAAAGACAGTAGAATCTAGTACCATGCTTTCACAGAATGTGGGCATTTTTGTGTTTTGTTTGGAAGCAGGTTCTTACTGTTTTTACTCAGGACCCTCTGCCTCAGCCTGAGTTCTGAGATGACAGACGCGTGCTACCACACCCAGCTGCTTCCACAGATATTTCATCAGAGTTCTGCTTTCTTACATGACTGACACATTAGCAGAGAGCACTTCTCATAGACTAGTTCACTAGCGTCCTGCTGCCGCACGAAACTGTCACAGTGCCGCAGACCAGTGACCTCACAGTACCGCAGACCCCAGACCTGAACGGCAGTAAGGGAGGGAGTACTCACGAGGCCAGGAGCTCCAGGGCAGCCAGCTTGTCTTTGCTAAAGGTGAAACAGCTGAGGATGCTGACCACTTCCGCTGGGTGGACGGCCACCATTTTCTATCATAAAATATAACGTGCTTCAGTGTGAGACTCTGCGCCCGCTTTGGGGAACTGTAATAAGTTGTTAGTATAAACATTTCAGGACACAGCCTACTCTTAGCCGAGAAGAACAGAAGCAGAAGGTAAGTCCCGGCAACTCAAGGGAGTCCTAGAAATACCGAGTCACACTTGGACTCTTTCTAGTGCAATCGTTTCAGAAGCAGGTCTGAAATGTGGGTTTTAGATGGTTTCCAATGAGCTCACTGAGACAAGTGTAAGCCCTCTGAAGGGCCATCACAGAGCTGCCATGCACACGGGTGACTCAACTCAGAGTCACAGTCAGGGAAAGGACTGAGTTTCTTCTTCCCCTATGACGGGGCTCTGCAGTGACGCATGCTGGGAGATGCTGCAGAGCCTGAATCCTAAGGGCCCAAAGCCCAGAACTCTGCTTTGCAATAAGCATCTCCCCCCAATTTGCCAGTTAGGACTGGTACAGAATTTAATAGCAGCACAATGCAATTGCACACCTCTTAACATAGTTACTTGGAGTTTCAAAGTATAATGGGATTTAAGGTTAGCTTTCTGACACAAAGCACAACTTGATCTGGATTATGCAGAGATGGGGGAAGGAAGCATTGGTCCTTGGCACACGGGGAAGGGAGGGTCACTCACACGCTGTAGGGAAGGGAGGGTCACTCACATGCTGTAGGGAAGGGAGGGTCACTCGCACGCTATAGGAAAGGGAGGGTCACTCACATGCTGTAGGGCTTTCATGGCCTTTAGCTGTGGTTCTGCCCAGGAGAAGTACCTTAGGAGGTCAACCACCTGCAAGTAGAGAGTCACTTCAGCTCCGATGACAGTGTCTGCACACATTCCTTTAAAACAGACTTTTTTTTTTTTTTGAGATAGGGTTTTTCTGTGGTTCTGGAGCCTATCCTGGAAGTCACTCTGTAGACCAGGCTGGCCTCGAACTCACAGAGATCCACCTGCCTCTGCCCCCTGAGTGCTGGGATTAAAGGTGTGTGCCACCACCACCCGCTCTTTAAAACAGATTCTAACACTTGGAATTCCTGTCAGCATGTGTGGAAGATAAACATGGCACCAGAGTCTAACAGTGTGACAAAGTACAGCCACTTCAGTAAAACTTAAAAATGTCAGTCCCATTGCAGTACAGGCCTCATATCAAGGATTCAAGATTCACAAGTTCTCACGTCACTACGGGAATGTAGTGGCATTCCCTGTTCACTCCCCACAACACATGGTTCTCTTCTCTTCTTTCCTTCCTTCCTTCCTTTCTTTCTTTTAAATAAAGGAGACATACAACCTAGGGCTGGCCTGACAGTGCATGACTGTGAATGCCAGCTAGGTAGGAGGCTGACACAAGAGAATCTTAAGTCCAAGGCCAGTCTCCGCAACTAAGCAAGTCTCCATCTCAAAACAAAAAGTGAAAAAAGAAAAAATTAATTGAGAGGGCTGGGTTGTAGCTCAGTGGAGGGGCGCTTGCCCAGTATGGGCAAGGCTCTGGGGCTTAATCTTTAGCATCACAAAACAAATTATGAAAAGAAAGTAATAAGGCAATCCAGGAAATAGTATACACTGAAAGAACAGGAAGTCAAAGTTAGGCAGGGATGGGACATCGGCTTGGTGATGCAGAAACGCTACAAATGGAAACAGCACAGCGCGGGTGGTGGCTCCGGTCCTTCACCAGGGTGTGGCGGTCATTCACCAGGGTATGGTGACTGAGTGAGGGCCACCGCTCTGCTTCTGCCTAGGGTTTCCACTAATCCGTGGAGCACGCTAGCGCAGTCAGTCGTGGATCGACTGCTGTGAGAGCCAGATTGATCGTAGGGGTTCCTACCACGACCCACACACAGAGGCCTCCAAGCGGGGCGAACACTGCATGTTGCCGGTCAGCAGTGAGCAGAGCACCCAAGTTCCCTCACCCTGGGCCGCTGTCTTAAAGGAGCACCTCAAAGAGCAAGGAGGACTCAGCCTGTTGGCTGTGGAGCACACAGTTCAGCATTTAGTCATGACTTCTTTAGTCAAACCGTGAATTTCAAAACTGTTCTAAATGCTAACCAAATTTAGTTTGATTTACAAATTCATAAACTCAAAAGTTGTTCCCAAAGGCTACGATTTACGTGCATGAGGGCTTTCCCTGCATGCACCACAGAGCCTGGTGCTCCAGGAAGGCATCAGATGCTTTGGAAGTAGTTTTGGATGGCTGTGAGGCACCATGTGGGTTCTGAGACAAACCTGGGTCCTCTGCCAGAGCAGAAAGTGCTCTTAACCACCCAGCCATCTCTCCAGCCCCAAGGTCATAAACTTGATATTTTTTTCTCACAGTAACTGACAGTTTACGTTGCTTTGTAAAAAGACATGGCCTTAGAGTAGGAACTGGGGTGTGAGGAGGCTGCCCGGATGCACACGTTCTGTAAAGCCTTTGGGCAGATCCGAGAGCTTCTGTGGCTCCAGAGCAAAGAAGGCAGCAAAGTCAAAGCAATTGTGAATGTATCCAGTGGGCAAGCAGACACTAACCGGAACACTAGTACAAATGAAGAATGGCAAATACCTGTTCACTGGAGAAGTACCCGTGAACATACTCAATTGCTTTTAATTTATACTCTGTCAAAACAGCCTAGAAAAGAGGAAAAAAGAATTAAGGTATCAGCAGCATGTTATATGCAGTTACCCACACTACATTACCCCCCTACACACACACACACACACACACATACAACCTGATAGGAACTGGTCTCATTCAGCTCTGCCTGGGAGCAGCCCCAAAGAGAACAAGAAATCCTACCTCTTTGACCTGCTAGGTCTCCAAGAACACTTATACAAAAGTGTTAACATTGTAACAGAGTCAAAACTAGTAGAAATTATGTATCAAACTCCCAACTATCTAATTAGTTTCAAAGCATCTCTAGTTGATACAGATTGCTATACCATTTCCTTTTCCTTCCTCGAATGGTCTCGCTTATGTAGCCCAGGCTGGCCTGGACTAGCAATGTGGCGTCAGCAGCCACTTTAGAGCGGGTCCCAATCACAGTCCTCACCAGGCTGGAGTGAGGTCCTAATCACAGAGACTGACACACAGCAGGGGCTTGATAAATGGGGGCTCTCCTCTCTGGAGCCTCTGACCTAGCAAACTATTCAGGGCTAATGGAAGTCACATAGGCCTTCTCTCAGAGATGGAAGGACCACACACACATGACCCTAGCTTTCGAGCCTCTCATCGTAAAACACCAACTAATCATTTTCCCCTCACTACAAAACAGATATAATACAGGTATTCCTCTTACATATCATTCTACTAAGAGCAAATGCAATGCCCAGTCAAAACATTCAAGGTGTTGAACTTTTACAATGCATTCTGGGTGATGTGCTTTGAGGTGTGTGATCATTATCATTCAGAGACAGTCAAGCAAGGTTCAGGACTAAATCCTGGCTTGAGCTGGCAACACCATCATGTTTCAAATCTTCCCCTAACGCTGGAGAGGTCTAGCTGTGGCCCCCCACACAGGGCATGGAACTGAGGGTTACGAGGTCTTAATACCACACTGGGTGAACATCAGTTACCTAAGGAGGCTGGGCTTGCCAGCTGTAGACTCAGAAGTACACCACCTAACTAATCCACAGACTAGGAAGCTGAAGTCAAGCAGGAAGTGCTTACTAATTAATAGCTCTTATCACCATTTTGGAAAAAAAAATCCTCTCCTAGCCGGGTGTTGGTGGCACACGCCTTTAATCCCAGCACTCGGGAGGCAGAGGTAGGCGGATCTCTGTGAGTTCGAGGTCACCCTGGTCTACCGAACGAGTTCCAGGACAGCCTCCAAAACAATGTAGAGGAACCCTGTCTCGAAAAAACCAAAAAAAAAAAAAAATTCCTCTCCTATTTCTGTCCCACGCATCTTTTCAGAAGTCTCTACTTTTAATGACAGAAGTGTCACCCAGAATTATCTTGGCCGTGCAGAAGAGGTGACCTGATTTAAAGTGACACTTACAAAGCCTAAGCACAATTCCTAACAATGACAGCCCCACCCCTACTTAGCAATGCCTGTTCTATTCCACTTCAGTAGACTAAAAGCACTGATGGGTTTCTCTGGCTGCCAAGGCCAACTAGCAGCACATTTTGATTTAGGACCAGAAATGTGGATTTAAAGGTTGCCTCAGATAAGCAGACTTTCATCTCTGGAACCTTTCCAACTCCTTCGTTAATATGTATTACCAGACATTTTCATAAGGCTGAGAAAGAAGAGACACACACACACCTGTATTGCTCCAAAGCAGAAGTCTGCATTCAGGTCTACTTTAACTTCAAATTTATTTTCTCACAAGAGCAGTTAAAAATCAGCTGAGGAACCAAGTGTGGCAAATTGTAAGTAGACGGTAAAATGATACTTTGTTTCAAATTTTAATTAGACAAAGGGAATCTGCCGGAGCAGAAGTCTATTTGAAAAGAAAAGTCAGCACCATCAAATAGGAAAGATTAATTCCGTTAATTTGAAAAGGAAGTGTGTGGGGGGGTCTTACAAGGAAGAACTACGTCTGGCGGTGAGTCTTCCAAGCCGAAAGTAAGAATAGCAGTGTATGGAAACATCTCTTCCGTGTCAGTCAGGGGCACCGGTTTGAGATGCCGAGTCGATCAGGACAGCCCAGTGCAAGCTCGGGGTGGTGGCTCACGGCCACAGCACTACCCTTTCCGTCTAGTGGGTAACCTTTTATTTTTGCACAAGAGATACTTTCAGACTCCACACTACATTCCATAATTTTTGCTGTCTGGCTCATCCCAGTTAAGAGGAAATATAAAACAATCTCAAAAAGCAGAAGGAAAAAGGAAAGCCAAGGCAGGGAATGCATTCTGCCTAAGCTTGAGATTGGAAAAGAAACTTTCTAGGCATTACTTATTACTTCCAATGCCGAGTCACGGAAACACGGAATCAAATGCCACTTAGCCAAAAGGTCCGAGTTAGGAGGGATTTAGAGTTGGCTCCGGAACCGTGGTACCCGAAACAACGTTAACTCCCTACCAGAACGAGTTGTCACGTTTAGCAGTCGAGTGGCTCATCTTCTATTTGTGCCGTGCAACCTACCAAGACGCAAACTCTGACATCACACAGGCAAGTCCGAGTACCTCTGACCTTTCCACGACTCTTATTTCGCATCACCTACATGCAACACCTCAAAGAAAGTAACCCGCGACAATTATCTCAGAAGATTTTTTTTTAGGGACCAAGGTCAGTTAGTTACCTTCCGGATTTCATCCAGCACCGTTTCAAAGGACTTTTTGTCCATCCTGAGCCCTGTTGCGACGCGGCCACTCACAGTCCTTGATTTGAGATTACAAAACGCTCATCCCAGGTCCGCCCCCCGCGGCTCCTACACCAGGAGGCGAGGAGGTAGCGAGCGCTGCAAACTGCAACCGAAACAAAGCAAAAAAAAAAAAAAAAAAATCCCCAAACGGAAACTGAGAAAAAAAGTTTTTATTTCAAAAAAGCCTAGGCTGCGGTGGGTTCCTCGCGCACGGCCCGAGCAGCTCGGAGCGGGGCGGGCTGGGGCGTCCGCAGACGCCGGGGAGGGCTGCGGGGGGCGCCGAGGGCCAGGCGCTCCGAGCGGGGGGGTCGCCGCGCCACGCGCTCGCCGCCGCGATCCGGGACACGGGGCCCGGAAGGCGCTCAGCCCCGCCACTCCGCCCGGGGTCCCGCAGCTTCGGCAGCCCGCGGCCCTGCGGCTTCTTTGTTACCCGTTGTCGTAGCTCCCGGGAACGGGCCGGCGGCCGGGGAGCCCTGGGAGCGGGGAGGACGGGACGCAGCCTGGGGCAGGGGGGCCCTCGAGCACCGCAGCGCGCACCGGGCCAGGCGCCCTGCGGGAGCGCCCCTAAACGCACCCTTCCCCGCCAGCTCCGGGGGACCTTCGCGACGGCGCGTCGCGCCGATAAGACGCCACCGGGCACCAACGGCCTCGGTCGCTATTGCCCCTAAAAAGACAGTAGATGCGGCGGGTGAATGGCTGGGGGGGTCCTAATGTGGGAACATAGGCACCCATGGCAAGCGCCTGAACGCTTTCGAAACGGATGTGACTGAAGTCCTTCCCGGAACTCTGCAGTCATTGTTTTAGCGTCCCTGTCCCCTTGGTCCTGAGTTTCTGTGGTGCTACTTTTGGTTCTTTTGAATGTGAATTTGGAAGAGTAGAACGGCAAAGCGGTCAGGAAGATCTGCGGCCACCACCATGCCACACCATGCTAGTGGCTGCCAGGAGCCCTGGGGCCAGCAGCGCCCCCTAGCGGGAAGCGTGGTCACCGCGTAGCACTCTGGGCACCTGACTCGGGGGCGGAGCCGGGGGCGGGGAAAGAGGCGCAGGAAACCCGGAATTTAAAGAGTTTCTCTGGTCTAGTTTTCCCGGTCCCTGGGCTTCAGGGCCCTGCCGTCCCCGCCGACCTCCGCCTCCGGGATGGCTAGGGTCTGGGTCTGCGTGGGAGGCGCCGTCTTCTTCCTCTCCTGTCTGGTTTTGCACGCGTGCTACAGCGGCTCTCTGGTGACTAGCGGGCCTGGGGCTGGGGGTGCGGGTGGCGCCGGCAGCCGCAGCCCCAGAGGCACCAAACCTGCTCCCGGGGCTCTGCAGCCGGCCATTCGCCTGCTCTTTTTTTTTTTTTTTTTACTACGGAAAAGCGTGTGTGTCGGGGCTGCGGAGGTGGGGCGGCTCTTGCACAGGGCTGGGGTTCGATCCCCAGCACCAGCCTGACGGCTCACTCCCCCACTGCAAGTAACCCCAGTTCCCGGGGTCCTGGTGCCCTTTCTGGCCTCGGTTGGTACATGGTGCGCATAAACTCACTTGGGCTCACACACATGCGTCTAAATAAAGTTAAACACGTCCTTTTTAAAAAATTTTTTAAAAAGAGTTATCGATTATGAATACAGTATCCTGCCTCCATGTATGTCTGCAGGCCAGAACAGGGCGCCAGATCTCATTACGGATGGCTGTGAGCCACCATCTGGTTGCTGGGAATTGAACTCAAGTCCTCTGAGCCATCTCTCCAGCACACTAAACATGTCCTTTTAAAAAATAGATTTTCTCCAAAGCCACAGAGAAACCCTGTCTTGAAAAACCAAAAAAGAAAAAAAAAAAGATTTTACTACCCTGTTGAGCCATTGCAGACTTTTATTGTGGCAGTTTTGATCTTTAGACATAAACCCTGTTTCTCTGGAGTTATTCTGGCTACCTTCTGGCAAGCTGTAAAGATAAATAAAAGGCACATGTGTACTTTTTTATTTTTTTTAACCCGGAAGGAAAAGTGAATCTGAGGTTTACTTTGTTTTATTTGAGGTTTCAAGGACATTTGCTTTTTACATACCATGGAGAAAGGAGGACACTCTTTTCCGGCTGGATTTGGGTTGGCCCAAGTATTCAGAATACTTCACTGGTTCGACATTTTCTGTTGCAGTTGACTCCGTCAATGGGTTAGTTTACGTAGCTCAAGTAAGTAGAATGAACATTTAGTACATGTAAGCCTGTGGTTGCAGAGATCAGAGTGTGAATGTGGAGATCTAAGGACAACTTTTTGGGATTTGGTTTTCCCATCCTCCGAAAGGGCTCAGAGATGGAACTCGGTTGTCAGGCTTGCTCAGCAAACATTTCTATCTGCCCAGCCATCTCCCCAACTACAGATGTCTTTTTAGAGTATGCACATTCAATTTGATCACAACAAAAAAAGAAAGGTCAACCTGAGCATGACAAAAAGAAAAAAATAAATAACAGTAATAGAAGTGACGTACCACCCTAGATAGCCAATTGCATTTATATTATATTTATATTTTTATTCCACTTATGATAATTATGCACCTTAATTTTGAATTGGTTTCAAGTACACATCTTAGATTTGTATATGATAGATGCTATTGTTAAGTCTTGAAGTTAGCTTTTTACACATTACTAAGTTTCTCAATTATCCTTTAATTTTGATTTCTCTCTGAAAAAAGTTAAAGTTAGCATTCCTATTAAGTGATTCTAAGCAGTTATTTTTGTGTGCCTTCAGAGAGGGGATAACATCCCCAAGGTATTAGTGTTCACAGAGGATGGATATTTCCTACGAGCCTGGAATTACACAGTTGACACACCACATGGTGTATTTGTCTCCAGCACACCATACGAACAGTCCGTCTGGATCACGGACGTAGGAAGTGGTATGTGTCGTATTGTCTATTAAATTGCCTTCCCAGATGGAATTCAGATATTTGCCCATGTTCTTGCGTGTATGTTTTAAGGCTAGTGTTGCTGAATCTAATCATAATTTCTGTAGTATTTTCACAAAATCATGTGTTTCTACAAATCTACATCACATTCCTGTTGAATCAAGAAATTCAAGGATGCTGTTAATAATGATCTTTTAAGCTTGTCAAGGGAACTTGTGCGTGCGTGCGTGCGTGCGTGCGTGCGTGCGTGTGTGTGTGTGTGTGTGTGTGTGTGTGTGTGTGTGTGTGCATGGTGGGGAGGGTTGTAGGTCAGGTGTCATTACTCAGGGATTCAGCCTTGACTTTTGAAACAAGATCTCTCCCTGGCCTGGAACGCATAAGCAGGCTAGGCTAACTGCTAGGCTAACTGGCCAGCCAGCCCTGGGGATCTTTCTTTCTCCCCTGTGTTAATGCTGATTACAGTGCACCAAGCATACTCAGTGGGTTTTTTTGATCTTTATTTATAGTTTTGTTTATTTTTCCATACATGGGTTCTAGGTCTGGAACCCAGGTCCTGTGCTTGAGTGACAGGCATTTTCCTGGTAGACTGAACTATCCCTCCCTCCGTCTCATCCCCTCTCACCTCTACCCCCCCCCAGTTCAGGATCTTTCTCTTTTGAACCTTCCGTTGCTTTACTCAGAGTAACCCTACCCCCTCCGTACAGTCAAACCCGATGCCAGTGTTTTCAAGGAAACCATGGACTCTTCCCCCCCTCCCCCCACAGCAGCTCTCTCTGGAAAGAGTGACAAGAAGTTGCGTGTGTTGCCGGGAGAGAGAAAAGATTTGCAGAAACCGGTGTTCACAGTTGTGACATTCCCTTGACATGAGCGTGTCTGAAGTCTTCTTGCTGTGAGGTGTTTTTAGTTGACAGTGTTGGAAACGAAGTGGACTCAGGAGCTGCAGGCTGCAGGGGAAATTAGCAGAGACCACCCTCCGCCTGTGCTGCTGGTGTCAGACCAGCAACACCAGAGTCAGTTTCTAAGGACGGCCCAGCAGGCCTGGTCTCATCAGGGAGGGAGGTGCAGGAGTCCCTTGGTCTGGTTATGTCTCTGCCTTGAAGGGCATCCTGCTTCCCAGTGCTTGTAACGCACAGGCCACTTTTTAGAACCAGTAAGGTGTGGGTTCTTATGAGTACAACTGTTGTCACTCTTGTTCACAGGATGAAAAAGATCTCTGGGCTTCAGGTAGTCAGCAGGCGATCCATTCCCTTTAGTCTTTTTTTTGGAAGGCAAATGTTGGTTAACATCTCAAGACTGGCAGTCAAAGTGTGTTAAAGATGCCCCCTTCTCTGAGTCTCTGCTTAGAAAAGCATCTCTTTTCATCTTTCTTTTTTTCCCTCCTTTTAGATGCTTGCCAAAGTCTGGGCATGCGTCTCCGAACACTCACATCCCATTCCCCACGAGGCTGCCTCTAAGCTGCATGACTTCCTCAATTCTTTGTCTCTGTCTTCTTCTCTCAGGCAGCTGCTGAGATTTAGAGTTTGCCTTCCCCAGAGGTTTCGCTAAGCCCTAGGAAAACTGGCCTTGAACTTCAAAGCGGATCTAGGAGTGGGAGAGATACTCTGGTGTAGAACACTTGTTCTTCCAAGGGACCTGGGCGCAGTTCCCAGCACCACATGGCAGCTCACAACCATCTGTGACTCCAGTTATGGGGGAGCTGATGCCCTCTTCTGGTCTCTCCTGGTACTGTACACATACATGCAGGCAAACACTCATATTCAGAAAATGAAGTAAGAAAAAAAAACCTCTTGGAAGTATATGAGTTTATGTAATACTGTAATGAGATTGGACTATTTTTCTCTTCTCTGTCCACAGAATTCCCCTGCAAGACCTTTATCTTTAATCTATTGTGTTCATGTCATTCTTTAGAAAGAAGAAAGAAAAACTTCACTGGTTCCCAGAAGTCAGCGTAGCACAGACGATCTCATTCTTCGATCTCATTCTTTCCATCTGTCTCGTTTCCCCCTCATGTCCCAGAAACGGTTCTTACGCTCTTCCCATTTTTCAAATGAATTGATTTCTTCAAATGGAGATGTGGCTGCAAGCCAACCACTTAAAAATGATGAGTGCTCCACCCCCTTCCCAAGTCCTTAGAAACTTTGAGGTGTGCTTTGTCTAATATGCTGTGTTCTCTGCGGCCAAAGCTTCAGCTCCAGCACTCAGCGCATGGTCAGGTGGTGCTCCAGGTAGTCCTGTAATGCTGGCTGGCTCACCTAGTCCTGTAATGCGGGCTGGCTGACTTAGTCCTGTAATGCGGGCTGGCTGACTTAGTCCTGTAATGCGGGCTGGCTCACCTAGTCCTGTAATGCGGGCTGGCTCACTTAGTCCTGTGATGCTGGCTGGCTCACCTAGTCCTGTAATGCTGGCTGGCTCACCTAGTCCTGTAATGCGGGCTGGCTCACTTAGTCCTGTGATGCGGGCTGGCTCACCTAGTCCTGTGATGCGGGCTCACCTAGTCCTGTGATGCGGGCTGGCTCACCTAGTCCTGTGATGCGGGCTGGCTCACTTGGCTTTGGCTAACTCAGTCTTTGGATGCCTGTCGGTCCCTTTGGCCTCCTCCTGGCAGGGCTGAGCTGCTGCCTAGTTCCCCTTAAGTGCTCTTGTGTCTTTACTGTTTAACTTGTAAGGTCACTTTAGCACCAAGATTACCTTTTCTCTCAAGAAATGATCAATTTTCACTTTGTTTCTTCTAGGAGAAAATGTAATTTTTAAAAAATCCGTTACCGCCGGGCGGCGGTGGCACACGCCTTTAATCCCAGCACATGGGAGGCAGATCTCCGTGAGTTCGAGATAGGGCTGGCCCTACAGCCTCCAAAACAATACAGAGAAACCTTGTCTTCGTTAAAAAAAAGAAAAAGTCCGTTATTTATAGAGAATTTTTTTTGTTGACTTCTGAAAATTTAAAGCCTGCACGTAGATGATGGGAATAAGAGCTTTGGATGTCAGTTGCTTGTTTTTAAGTCCTTCTTGGTTTACTCTTACAAACAGCGTGTTTCAGAAGAGGAAAATGCACAAAATCTCCTAAGCTTTCTGTGTAACGAGCCAGCATTTTTTTTTTTTTTTTGGTTTTTTACGAGCCAGGGTTTCTCTGTATTGTTTTGGAGGCTGTTGGTCCAGCCCGGCCTCGAACTCACAGAGATCCACCTGCCTCTGCCTCCCGAGTGCTGGGATTAAAGGCGTGCGCCACCACCGCCCGGCAACGAGCCAGCATTTTTGTAGTGTTCTTTTGTGTTAAAGTCTCCTGATTTTGGAGTGACTAGATATTACTTCATCACCTTACGAAGAGCTGCTTGCTGTCACCTGTCAAATTTACATACGAATCTGTCGGCTTCTCTTGCCATTCCAGCCCGGTGAAAGATTTGCCTATAGCTTATAGAAGATGTCAGTGCTGAGCGGTGCTCCTAACACACGCTTGTCTGTTTCCACAGGGGCCTATGGTCATACTGTTAAAAAGTATAATTCCCTGGGCGACCTCGTTCAAGTCTTGGGCACCCCAGGCAAGAAGGGCACTGGCTTGAACCCACTACAGTTTGACAACCCTGCAGAAGTATATGTAGATGGCACGGGGGAGATTTACATTGTCGATGGAGATGGTGGCTTGAATAACAGACTGGTCAAACTGTCCCAAGGTAAATGCTTTAACTTGCTATGATCATAGGAATATTATCTTATAAGATGAATTTGACTTGTTTGCATTTTGGCATAATGTAGTCATATTGCACATGGAGCTGTGTGTAAAGGGTGAAATTCATGGCAAACAGATCGGTGGGATTGCCAGCAGCAAATGAATCTGCTCATGGGCCTCCATGTTTACCAGGGCCAGCAGGTACCTCCTAGGGACTGGAGGTGGTTTGAGAATTTAAAAGGCTTCCGAGGATTTCCTGTCCTGTATATGGTGGGGTAGCCAGGAAGCTGGATTCCTGCAGGCTTCCAGCAGCTGAGACAGGGTAACTTTGCCCTCTTCTTGTCATCTCCGTACTGTGTCTCTGACTCCCACATCTCCCTCTCAATGATTGGGGGCCTACTGTCAACCCAGGGCAATCTCAAGGTCTTTAGTTTAATTGCGTCTTTAAAATCCAGAGGCCACATTCCCAGGTGCCATGCGTTAGGTGAGGGATTCAGTCCACTACACTTAATGACTCTCCTTCCAGAGACTAGAGGGAGACGGTAAAATATAACAGTAGGTGTGCTGGTGCACACCTGTAATTCCCGCACGCAGGAAGACTGAGGCAGCAGGATTGCTAGGAATTTGAGGCCAGCCTGAACTACATGGGACAAGGCCAGCCAGGGCTACATAATATGATTCTCTGTCTCCGGAAAAGAAAAAGAAATTTGGACAACAAATGCACTTTTTGTACAAAGGGAACTGGTTTGAAGGAAACGATGCAGGAACTCTGACCATTGCTTCAGAAGTCATCAGAGCACTCAGGCAGAGCTAATTAAAGCAGAGGGAGCCCACAGACCAGACAGACATAGACAAAGCCAGCAAAGAGTACTCGAGCTCTCAGTGGAGTACACGCTTGTTTTTGTTTGTTTGTTTGTTTTTGCAGTGTGCAAGACAAAATTAGCATGTAAATGTGTAAGGCATTCTATATGTTTTACTGTTCATATATGTTTACCATTTATAGATTTCATGATCCTCTGGCTGCATGGAGAGAATGGAACAGGACCTGCCAAGTTCAACATACCTCACAGTGTTACTCTTGACTCCGTTGGTCGGGTAAAAACACAGATCCCTTGTGTTTGGAGTGGCGTGCATGTGGGTGGGTGGGCCTGCCTGAGTGGGCATGTCTAGGTGGGTGGGCCTGCCTGGGTAGGCGTGTCTAGGTGGGTGGGGTTGTGTATTAGCAGGTGTTCCTGTTTCATTTCTGTGGCTGTGATAAACAGACAAACAAACCTGATGGAAAGCCAGGTAGGAAGAAGGAGAAGTCAAGGTAGGCACTGCAGACATCTCAGCTGTGGAGTCAGCAGCAGAGCGGAAGGAATGTACACGTGCTGGCTTGCAGCACCCCACAACCTAGGGAAAGATGTCGCCCACAGTAAGCTGAGTGTTCCCATGTCAACCAAGGCAATCCCCCTACTGTAGACAGTGCTACCTGGGAGATGCTAGGTTATATCAAGTTGACAGTTAGAGCTAACCACAGTAGGCATGTCTCGGCAATTTCTCCAGAGCTGGCTGTGTATGCACACATATTCTTAAAATGTTTGGGCCCACCAAAAAAAAAAGCCAGCTGGGTGGTGGTGGTGCACGCCTTTAACCCCAGCACTCGGGAGGCAGAGGCAGGTGGATCTCTGTGAGTTTAGAGACCAGCTTGGTCTACAGAGTGAGTTCCAGGATAGGCTCCAAAACAATACAGAAAAACCCTGTCTCGAAAAACAAAAAAACAAAACAAAGCAAACAAAAAACCTCCACTTTTCAGAGCATGAGAAATGTAGACACAATCAGATTCCGCATGGTGAGGAACGTTCTTCGGGGCAACGAGATCGTTTGGAGGCACAGCCTGAGATTGCTCAGTGGTGACAAATGACAGCCCATTCTCTGCATGCTTGCACATCTTGTTTGCCCATTGCTGCCGCTGTAGGGTAGGACCCGGGGCCTTTCACGCGTCGGGGAGCCTCCCACCACTCAGCTGCTTCCTAGCGTAGGAGGAAGCTGGAGACGCCCACCGGCTTGGGCACCAGCCTCTGACTGCCCCGCGTCTCTGTCTGTTTGGAAAAGCAGTCATTGGCCGTCCACACCAGTGAAGATAAAGTCGGTCGCTCCGGGCTACACAGACCCAAGAAACTGAATGGTCTGCAAGGGGTGTGCTCTGTGCTGTCAGGTGGCCTAGAATTGGGAAATTGACTCATGGATCCCCTGAATGCCGCTGAGAACAACCCTGCACACACTTGTATTACAGGAGTGTCTCAGCTCGTTACAGGCTGTAAAACCGAGAGTAAACCCATTATGCTGTGTGTGTTCCTAGCCCGCCCAGGCTGCTTCCTCTCCAGTCACTGTACTTTGGACCCAGCCCAGTAGTCACAGGCTGAGGCTTAGAGCTGACAGGGAGCCTCCTGGTAGCCGGGCTGCTTTTCTTTGTTTTGTGAGCTGGCTTAGCAGACACTCAGCTGTGCATTGATGGTGATGGCTGTTAGAGGGACGGGTGAGTCGCCCCTTGTCAGTGTGTCTTTGATCTTTTGCACGGTGGCATAGACTCAGGTCAGTTACTTGCACGTTTAACGTATCTGATGGCCCTGTGGGCTCTGGGTGGAGGCAGATGCACAGTAAACCGAGGCAGTCACACTTGCTAGTGCGTTTCAGACAAGGTGTTTAACCCCCCCTGACTGACTATGGTGTTTAGTGATGCCATCTTCCCTCTAAACAGGACCTGAGACAATGGTGTGGAGCTAATAAAAACAGTCATGTTTCTTCTCGTGGTGTGGGTCTCTTCCAGCTGACGTGATTTTGGTTTCGCAGGTGTGGGTTGCTGACCGAGGAAATAAAAGACTCCAAGTATTTGATAAAGACACTGGAGAGTGGCTAGGAGCATGGGACACCTGTTTCACAGAGGAAGGGCCCTCGGCTGTTAGGTAATCACTGCTGTTTATTTTATTTATTTGTTTATTTATTTTGGTTTTTCGAGACAGGGTTTCCTGTCCTGGAACTAGCTCTGTAGACCAGGCTGGCCTCGAACTCACAGAGATCCGCCTGCCTCTGCCTCCTGAGTGCTGGAATTAAAGGCGTGTGCAACCACCGCCTGGCTTCACTGCTGTTTATTTTAAGTGCTGTTCTAGTTGGTTGTGGGACCCACTTCTGAAGAGTGTTTGAAAGTTTATGGTGCTTGTTGTTAATTTTAAGATGGGAAAACGGAAGGTAGCAAGGAAGAAATGTCAGATTTTTCTAATCCTTTGGGAGCTTTCCAGTCATGGAAGGAGGCTCGAAGCTTGTTGACCTCCCGAACTTCTGACTCTCCGTTTGTTAGTTATGCTAGGGTTGTTTTAATGTAGGCGTAGCCTCTGCTTCCTCTCCAGTCACAGACTTTCACACCATTTTGAACTCTTCAGGCAATGCTGGCCACCGCTGAGCATTGCAGAGGACACAAACAGTGAAAGAATGATCGTTACTATTGAATTCTGCTTCTACTTCTTAGGTTGACCGCGGATGGGAAGTACTTGATCGTGGCCCAGCTGAAGCTCAGTAGGCTGTCCGTTTTGGTGGCCCCACCATCCGGAGACATCGGAGACTGTTCTGTGGTCAGCACCATCCAGCTGGCAGACCAGGTTCTGCCGCACCTTCTAGAAGTTGACAAAAAGACCGGAGCAGTCTATGTAGCAGAGATTGGGGCCAAACAAGTGCAAAAATACGTCCCATGGCACAGCCGTCCCCCTGCCTTTGGGAGGGGCTTCAAGTAGCAGTTCTGTGCCTCAGAGGCATTGTGCTTAAAGTCATTAAGGCACAGGGCCATTTTTACCTCTTCTGCCAGACAAGTGTGTTGGGATGCCATTAAGAGTCATGTTTTCTGGTGGTTCTTGGGCCTTAGTTTTACAACTAATCTTGTAAGAATGTTTTGGTTTTTTGTTTTGTTTTGTCTTTTCCTTTTTGATGGTCCTGGGTGTTGAACTCATGGCCTGATGCATGCTAGGCTGCTGCCCTGGCACTGAGCTGCGCCTTCACCTAAGCAGCTTTTGGAGAAAGAAACGCAGTTATGAAATGGGGCCACAAAGGGGAACTGTGATTGTAACCAAATTGCTTGCGTGGGTTGATTAACTCTCTCCGGGCTCCGAGGATAGCCTTTTGATTCCATCGGAAGAACTGGAAACTACTGGTTTGTTTAACTTCTGCAAAGCGGACTGTGAAGGATTGTGGGTGGGTGGACCGCTGAGTGATCTGACATGTGCAGAGTGCCCTGCCTGGTCCAGAGGGTCCCAAAGTGAGGAAGCAGCATTGTCTGCTTGCGGTCCAGCAGAGAGACACGTGGGCATAGTGACAGCAGGAGACAGAGGACCGTGACGGACAGGACGAGCCAGGCAGGGTGGATTCATGGAGACTGCAGGCAGCGGCAGCGTGAGCTCATTGGCCGAGAGATGAGTGAGGAGGAGGTAACAATACCACTCAAGTAGAGAAGGCCTAAGATTTACAGACATCCCCTGAATCGTGAGGAGAAGGCAAAACAAAGGTTTCGTCTTTTTGCTACAAAATGCTTAATGCCAGCCTTTACAAGTAAGACTGCAACAGCCAGCATCTAAGCACTTTACTGAAATGAAGATTTGCCAATGGTAGCTTAAGAGTTAATGCTAGCAATAAGTTCCCCACTCACCATTGTCCATTCCAGTTTTCAAGAATGAACTCACTTTGCTGCTAGTAATTATCTACCTCCAAGACATGCTAGGGAGCTGGGACCATTCACAGGAAGTGTGCCAGGCACGTGGAGGTCTGAAGATGCCTTCCCTGCCTCCCCAGCCCGCTCTTGTCCATCAGAGTGCCGGCCTTCAGATGCACATTCCGTGTCTTTCAGTCTGTCCTGGGCCATTCTAGACTTTGGGGGAACCCTTTCCTCTCAGGGTCCTTCCATCGTCCACCCCCTTTGCGGCATCGGAGTCCCTCCCTGTCCCAGGGTTACATGGTGACTTGTGCGGCACCGCGGCCGCCTAAGCTGACTTTGCTTCCCATCCTCTACAGCTGAAGGGGCTTGGACCTGCTTTGGTGGCTTGGGTCACAGGTAGCGTGGGAGGAAAGTGATCCTCCAGTAGACACGCGCTGCGTCCCTGCCGCTCCCCAGACTGAGCCCGAAGTCACTTCAGTCTTCCTGTGGTACCGAGGGAGCACCATCCTTTCCTCCATCGCTGGTGCGGTGTGGACTGGGTTTGCGGCTGGCACAGATGTCTGGAGCCTGCAGCACACTGCAGGGTGTTCTGAGACGGCCTTCCAACTGTCGCGTGCACGTTTGCCGGACTGTCCAGGGTTTATGCGTTTGCTAAGAAGCGGCTGACTTGGAAAGTGGCTGGTTATCCTCATAACAAGTGTGCGGCTGTTGCACCTGTGGGCACATCTGGAGTCCTCAGGCTTCACGGCTGCTTCAGTGGTGTAGACAGAACCTCTAGAGCTGTGAACGCTAGCCATAGGGATGAAACTTCCCAGCCAGTACCGGCTTGATGTCTTCTTTACAGATTCTTAGAAAACTTGCTGAGAATATCGTTCCTGATTGTCTTAAAAGGTATGCTTACAATCAAAGTGATTTTACTCCCCGCCTTTGGATCAGTTAGTTAAATAAATAGGAATTGTATTTTCTATTGGAACATTAAAGTTTTGCAAAGAAAAATCTATATAACTTGGCTACTTATTTGAAGATTGGATTTTTTTTTTGGTTTTGTTTTTTAAATAATAGAATTTCAATGACCATAAGATCCCAGGTTGGGGAGTCCGGGCATGATGGTATACATCTATAACTCAGCACACTGGAGGCCACAGCAAGCTCTCAGGTTGCAGACTAACCCATCTATCAACTAACGTTGGCTACATAAACCCAGGACTAAAGGCATCACATCGCTAAGAGAATTCTTTTTCTCTTCCTCGTAAAGGATGTGCTGCTGAGGTGTGTTGGCCAGGCTGACCTGGGCTTAGGGATTCTGTGTGTGGGGATTCGAACCCAGGTCCTCATGCCTGCCCAGCAAGCGCTCTAACCCACAGAGCCGCCACCTCAGTATCACACAGTTGATACATCGCTAAACACATGTTTTTATTATCTTCCATTATGTTCATGTCTGTATCTGTCTGTGTGGGTATGTGCACACTCGTGCAGATGTCTGTGGAGGCCAAAGACCTCTTGTGGGAGCAGAAAGTGCTCTTAACTTCGGAGCCGTCTTGGCCCCAGAAGTCTGTATTGTGTTGTAGATATGAAACTCTCGATGCCTTTGCTTCCTAGGTTTATTCTTGACATAGAGGGGGGGTGTTTTACACTAGAAGACCAGAGGCTGTGATCATCTCTCCTTCCACTGAATGGCTCCTTGAAATGGAGCCCTTGTCAGTCAGAGAAAACCTGGTTACTGTCTGATAGCAAAAACCACCATGCAGGTAGCAGTCATATAACTTCTTCGTGTGCCTTTGCTGGAAGGCTAAGGTGACAAAGAACTAACTTGTTTTGCTTCTTCTGGTTTCTAGAGGTTTTTGAGTTTGATTTTATAGTTAATGAAACTGGGAACACTTTAAATTTTTATTTCTTAGGCTAACTAAATTATATCAGAGTCATAGAAAAAAGTTTGGAACTTACATGGGTGGGTTGTCTTATTTTCAACTACATACTCCCAGCAATAATCAAATAAAAATTTGAAGTCAGAATTTATCAGCTTTATTCATTTCATAAAAACCTACTACAAACACGAAGGTTTTCGGACTAGAGTGCAATGGGCACCTGCGTTACAGCCTTTACCCAGAAGAGGGCAGTAGAGTTCTGCAATGTCGGGCTTCCTTGTGCTGATTTTTTTTTTTTTTTATTGAAGCTACAGTAGGGAACACACTGGTGGTTCCCCTTTGTTCTACAGCGCACTTATACCCTGAGGAAGCTGGTGTGCACCTGAGGGACTTCTTGGAGTTGAACCTTTATGGCTTAGTTTGTTTTTCTACAACTAAAAGGAAAAAGGTTTTAATTCAGTAATTAAAATAAAAATAAAATAGAAGTAGTAAAAAATAAAACAGAGAAGCAATTGAAACCAGCAGCCAGAAGTGAATTATCTATTTACAGGTAAAGCTATAGTTGGATAGCGAGCTTAGTACATAGGAAATTCACAGGGTAAATATGCTGGCTTATTCCTGCTGATTGGGTCTTTGAAGGATATTACTTGTAATTGTTGGTTAGTTTACAAATGAGACAAGTGAATTATTTATTTAAAGGCCCAATTCACTTCTCTGCCTGGCCCTTAGCCATCCTGTGAGCTTATGGCATTAGTTAATACCCAGTCACCTCATAACATGGAAGTTCTTTGTTCCACATGTAAGAGTTGAATGGAAGCTGAACGGTGTTTAGTCAGGGTTACTATTACTATAATGAGACACCATGACCAAAAGCAGCTGGGGAAGGAAAGGGTTTATTTGGCTTACACTTCCAAATCATTGTTTATCACCTAGGGAAGTCAGAACAGGGACTCAAGCCGGGCTGGAACCTGGAGGCAGGAGCTGATGCAGAGGCCACGGAGGGGTGCTGCTTACTGGCTTGTGTGGGGACACCAGACCTTGAGCAGAGACCCACTTCCCCTTCTGCCTGGGAGTAGGCAGCTGTAAGACATCGTTTACTAAACATGTTTACTAAAAACAATACAATGCCCGGGGCAATAAGTTCCTGGAAAAGGCCTGCCCACAGAAACCGCCCTGACCTCGACCTTGTCCAAAGACTAACCGCCTCTTTTGACATGCCCAGATCAGTTTTTGGTGTCAGAGCAGAACCAGCCAGGGTAGAGGAGAGAGCAGAAGCTTTTCTGGAGGGAGCCTTTCTTAGGAAGTTTTCTTGAACCTTTTTGGGGCCTGCTTAAAGTTTTCTTTACATCGTTGAACAAGTCTCTGTGTTGTCAATCCCCGACACCCTCTGCACATTCTCAGACACAGGCTGCGCAGCAGGCATGGCAACTTGCTCCTCAGGGCTTGCTCAGCATGCTTTCTTACAGAACCCAGGGCCGCCAGCCCAGGGATGGCGCCAGTGCAATGGACTGGGCCCTCCTCCACAAATCAAGAAAACTCCCCACATGCAAGTTTACCTACCGCACGATCTTACGGAAGCATTTCTCAATTAAGGTTCCATCCTCTCAGATGACTACAGCTTATGTCAGCATAAATCCTAGGGGGTAAAACTGAGCCCTAGTCAACTTGACACAGAAATGCATTGCTGTTAAACTATAACCTTTCCTTCCTGGTCAGCCACAATACCGTACATTAGTAATATCACGATATAAAACACATTGCAAATTTAGAAGTCTCACAATCTTTACAAACTCAAACACTTTAAAAGGTGTTTCTTTAAATGAAAATCCAGGGGTCTGGAGGAGAGATGGCTCAGAGATTAAGAGCACTGGCTGTTCTTCCAGAGGCCCCGAGTTCAATTCCCAGCAACCACATGTGGCTCACAACCACCTATAATGAGATCTGATGCCCTCTTCTGGCATGCAGAAGTACATGCAGACAGAGCACTCATACATTAAAACAAAAACAAAAACCCCCAAAAACATAAATAAAAATAAAATCCAGTTTTTAAAAGCACAAAATAACTATGGGCTCTTGTGAAATCAACATAAGCTTAATACTTTATTCCAAGAGGGAAGAACCAGGACGCAGTCCCAATCAAACAGTGTAGTAACTCAGTGTCTCACATCTGGATTCACTCACAGTCTTCTGGAATCCTTCAAAGGGCCCAGGCCACTTCTACAACTTCACCCATTGCTGCCCACAGAGAGCGTCTCCTAAATTCAGGTCAGCTCCACTCCATGACCACTGCTGGTCTTGGTAGCCATCCCATCCAACATGCTGGAATCTTCTGCTGCTACTGGGCTGTACTTCACCAATAGCGTCTCCTGGGCTCTTTTCAAGGCCTGGGGTCAGGGCCAGGGCCACAGAAACAGCTGACCTGAACAAGTGGGAGCTCACAGACCCCAGTCTGACAGCTGGGGAACCAACATAGGACTGAACCAGAGCACCTGAACATGGGTGTCAGCTAGGAAGCCCCAGGCAGTCTATAGAGCCTCTGGCAGTGGAACCAGTATTTATCTCTAGTGCACAAATGGACTTTGGGAGCCCATTCCCCATGGAGGGATACTCTCTTAGCCTAGATACACAGCGAGGGCCTAATTCCTGCCCCAAATGATCTGACAGACTTTGATGATCCCTCATGGAAGGCCTCATCCTCCCTGGAGAGTGGATGGGGGATGGGATGGGGGTCAGAGAGGGGAATGGGAGAATGGAAGGGAGAGGGAACTGGGATTGACATATAAAGTAAGATTGTTTCTAAAAAGAAGTGAATTTGCTAACTGAGCTTAGGAAGAAGAAGAACATGTCCAGACTCCCTAAGTTAAATCCCCATGTGATGGGGGAAGTCCTGTACATTTGTTAATAAAGCACTGTTGAGCCAATAGGAATCTAGATAGGTGGGACTAGGAGTCCAGGAGGATTCTGGGAAGGAGAAACACAGGAGAGTTGAGAAGTAACGCCATGGGGTAGGAAGCCTGGAAACGTCTCCGGTAAGAGAAATACATAGATTAACAATTATGGGGTAATTACTTAAGTCAGAGCTAGCCAGTAAGAAACAAGCAAGGCCAACAGCTTCATAATTAATATAGCCTCCTGTGTGTTTATTTGGGACTGATGCGGCTCTAGAACCAGGCTGGCGGGAAGGCTCCTCTCAAGGAAAAGGCTTCTCTTTACACCCATGCTTCCTTTTTTATGAAAAATATTGTTTTGGAAATAACCCCAATGATCTTGCCTCCAGCAGCCAAGACATTTTTGACTGTTGTGATGGCTATTCTTAGTAGTCAAACTGACTACCTCCGGAATAAGCTACTACACAATGAGGCATATTACTTAAAGGTTTTGAAATGGGAAACCTTTCATTAGTCTGAATCCTTTGAGGTCTTCAGAATCCCCTTTAATCTGGGTCAGACCCTCTGTTGGCAGCCTACATATGTAAAATTCATTGAAGAAGGAAGCACTTGCTCTTTGCCTGACTGCCCTGGCTTTCACTGGGAAAATTCCTTCACTCCCTTTAGAGTATATAGATTATACTCTTCAGTATATAGAATTCTGCTATATACTGAAGACCATCTGAAACATCCAGCCTAATGAATTAAAGAGCTGAATTCTGGACCACAGTCTGAGAGACATTCTAATAAATCCCCTTTCTAAGTACATGCAGAGAGTTCTTCTCTCTGTTGTGTTTAAGCAGAGAACCTTGACTAACACGGCTCTGTTGTTTTCAGCTGCCCACAGAGTAAGATGTACTCGCTAACAATAGTGCTCATAAAGGCATTCTTCCTTACTCCATTTCCAAGTATTCAAGCTGTCGTGAACACTACACTTTTCATTATTGTTAAATTGTCAAGAGACTGAAATGAATTGCAGAAGAAAACTCCTAAAGCAACAGAGGGAGCCATCACCCAGCCTTTTGATGGGAGAAAGAGCTATCATCTTGACTGTGATCTGGTTCCCATTTTCTCTCCTGGCCATCTGAAGTCCTTGAGACAACGAGAGAAAAAGTACCTTCAGTGTACTTGACCCCAGCATGAAGCTACAGAACAAACATCTCCTTTCCCCCCTAAAATCTATCTTGTCAATATTTTGCACACGCTTC